GCCAGCCCAGGGTGGTTCCCCACAGCGGCCCTCCTGCTTCGGCCTCTGCCTTCAGCCTCTGGGTTCTGGGGCAACTTTAATGCGACTTTCCGAGCTCCATTTTCTTGTCTACAAACCTGGTATGGCTTTAGCCTTTCAGAGCTGCTTTAGGCCTATTTCTAAGTGTTTTGAGGTCCTCAGGTTGCTTTTAACAGCACAGTGAATTTCTTTCATTAAAAACAAAAAAAAAAGGCATACCATAGAGGCTAAAAATAGGAGATAATATTTTTTATCTAACCACAACTTTGTGCATTGCATAGAAAAAGCTTTCAACAGGACATAAGGATGAAGCGGTTTATGGCCATGTTGAGCAGGAATAAAAATAAGGATCGCCCCCCCGCCAAGCTGCTGGATCTAGCAGGACAGCTTTGCCAGGACCTCCAGAGCTCATCTCCTAGTCTGGAGAAGCTGGTTGGGACCGTGATGGAATGCGAGCACAAGACGTATTTTCTCACTAACATCCATGTTGTCCGAGCTTGTGTGTTCGTTTATATCCGTAATGGGCAGCATGACAGAGCCTGCAGACTCCTGGAGGTAGGGATGTGTTCTTTGTTTCTTCATGAAGACAAAAAGCAGCGTTTGAGAAATAGTAGTTAGAGCTGTTAGTGTGGAGGGTGCCCAGCATGTGGAGCGTTTCCAGCTGGCCTAGGGCAGCAGAAGGTGGTAGGTGTGCTTTTAGTTGGCCTGAAACACAAGATGAAGCCTTTGCTACAGGCAAGTACTCTTAATCAACCAAGGGGAAGAAGGTAATTTTGTGACTATAGGGTTGGTTGTAGTTTTCCCCTTTTCAGCAGGGGAAAAGAAGGAATTAGGCAGGCAACTCTCCACAGCTCTTAGAGAAAGAATAGCGAGCTAATGCTACCAGCTTTGTCAAACCAGTAGGAATCCCAGTAAGTTTCTAGTTGTTGAGGGTTTTCTCCATTATAGGAAGCCTGCCAGACTACCTGGAAAAAGGTATATGTACATACTGTTTTGTTTTAGTATTGCAAGGCAGAAGAGAAGGAGGAGCTGGTGCAACTTTGGCATGAGATTCACTACCGGAGGATTATGGAGAAGCACCACACGGATTCTCTGACACCACTGCAGAAGTTCCGCTGCAGGAAGAGGTACTGCAGCATTGAGGAACTGCCATTTTTTTCCCTGCTGTAGTTAGGGGACACAGGGCTTAGAGATGCCAGGCCGTTTCATCATCACAAAGTGTCTGCTTCTTGGAACTCTGTGTTTCTTGGCATTTTGACCACTTGTGGTAACGTAAGAAAGTTGTGATGAATGTGTATGACTCTGTGGGTACTTTTTAATGCTGTTTTCTCCCATGTACAGGAACCCTCCACCTGTTTCCCTTTGTCCTGAAGGTCTGAAGAATCGAAACTATTCAGATGAAGTACGTCAGCAGCTACACAGGTTTGCTGCAGAGGTGACAACAAATCCAAACAAAAAACAGCGGGTGAGGATACTTCTGTTTAAGTCTTATTGTCACAGAAATAATATAGACCCCTGCAGCCAGGGGTCTATAACCGGTTTTATTCAAAATTTGTTTCCCTTTGTCCTGAAGGTCTGAAGAATCGAAACTATTCAGATGAAGTACGTCAGCAGCTACACAGGTTTGCTGCAGAGGTGACAACAAATCCAAACAAAAAACAGCGGGTGAGGATACTTCTGTTTAAGTCTTATTGTCACAGAAATAATATAGACCCCTGCAGCCAGGGGTCTATAACCGGTTTTATTCAAAATTCCTGTTTTCAGAAGCCCTAGTGGGGCTGGGATTCCCCATATTTGATCTTTCCCTTCTAGAGGTTTCCTTAAAAAAGTCATCAAGTGCATGCTAAATAATTTCACTTGCTTTGGACAGGAAGATCAAGGGAAATAAGCTCCTCAGAGGGCTTTTAGCAGTTCTGATGTTGTAGTGATTGAGCATAGGCAGCAAAACAACAGTGATAAATAGTTCTAACTTGACTGAGTTACAGCCAGTAAAAAAATGCACTTTGCTTACCAGAATATATTTTGTATTGATAATTGCATTAAATTCACAGAACTTGAAAACACGATAGGCTGTGTTGGTGTATGCATGTATCTACCTTAGTTGGACAGAGACAAATTTGTAATGTGACATGTGAATGTCACATCCTTATTGAGTACTACCTTGCAAGGCTTCAGACTTTAAAGTCTGCCTCAGTGGTGCTCAATCTTTTCAACGCCCCTCTTATATGAGGCAGGATGGCCTGGTGAATAGTTTTGCAATGGAAAGTTTATTTCTTGCCCTTTCAATAAAGCAGCAAAAACTTCCAAATACTCATTTAAAAAAAAAACAGTCTTAATTAGGAGCATAATAAATTGTGTAATTACGTCCTAAAAGTTCAAGATACAATGATCATTTATGCAATAATTTCCAAATACTTTCTTCACTTATGTGATCTCATTATTTAACAGTTTTGTACAGCAGATTTTTTTTCTGTAAACACGATACAGATGTTTATCCTGCTAACAGTTTGTGAAAACTATTTAATGTGGTGAATGCATTAATGTTTATCCCACTAGCATCACGCTAGTGATGTGAGGCTGTCGTTCTGAGAGAAGAGTGTGCTTTGGTGAGGTTGTGCGTTTGAATATAGCACTGTAAAATAGCAGTATATGGTTTCCTTTAGCAGACTAATTGACTTACTTAGGGGAACAGGGTGGACTCTTCTGAGTTTATAAATCAGCCTCCTTAATGGGATCCACATAGACTTACCGGAGACCTAGTGAACAAATGTCTGTGGGTTTGAAAGCTCTTTTGCTGGGCTGCTTTGGCAATTGAAGGGGAAAGCTTATTGTTTGAATGTGATTTATTCGTTTTCCCTTGATCTCTCCCTACACCTGGGTTTGCAGGAGGGATTGGCTCGGGACATGAACCTGCAACCAACTCAAGTCTATAATTGGTTTGCAAATTATCGACGACGTCAAAAATCCTGCCTCCCTCGTACAGAAATGCTCAACAACTCATGTCCTGAGAGGCCTTTGACTTACCACATAAAGGAGCAGCAGGATAAAGGATCCTACGTTCCACAGACAGCAGGTTTGTCTCTTCCTAATGGGCTTAGGATGTGGTCCAGAAAGCTGAAAAACAGTCTGAAATTCCCTCAGGAAGGGAAAGATATTACTTCTACAGAACAGCATCTGTATGCTGATGGATCAAATGGATGCTGGAGGACTCTGCTTCAGTGGAGTGCCTCATTGTTTGGCTAGAGACTGTTACCCACAAACGAAGCAAACATTGATAAGGCCTGTGCAAGGGCAAGTGAAAAGAGATGCCCATGTCAGAAGGGGCGCCAAATGAAAGCAAATACATGGGGACAACGGGTTTTAGCTCTCAGATTCTGGGATCAGAGCAATACTCCACTAAAACCCAGTATTTCCATGCCTCTTCACAGTCACAGGGAATAAGAGGGTCTTGCTGCGTTAAGCGAATTGAACTTGTTTCATTGCTTTTTGGAGTAACTGTTAGTGTTCCTTCACCTGCCCGGCCTGCACCTTTCAGATGGATCTTGTGTAGGCATTGGCTCTGAGCAAATGGAGATAAACCTCATGCCCTGTGACCCAGGGTGGGAGCAGTCAGCTGCAGATCTGGATAAGGCTCCTGAAGGAACGTATTTAAAGATGCTGGAATCCAGGTGATGTATGAAGGAGTCTTTAGAGGCACAGTTCAGGGATGAAGCAACCTTTAAACTTGGTTATGGAACTGACTTTCCTGTCAGTTCCCAGGGGACACTGCTTAGAGTTATGACTCCATGGGTGGGAATGGTCCATCTCCCAGCTGTCACGGGCAAGGTTCAAAGGCTTAGCCTGGGGGGGTTGTCCTCTTTGCAAAGCAATGGGTGGCCTGATTTATGTTCTCCATCATTACAGCTTTATGCAGAGCAGTGAGCTGTACGAAGCAAGAACAAGCAACGCTTTGTTGACCTCTTACAATGTGGAACAACCTGTAGCTTTTTGCACTGAGGCCATGCTAGAACCAGGAACCTGCTTTAACTCTGCTGTCCTGCAGCCCAGAGGAGTAGCAAGCAGTACTGGTGCCAGTCCCCAGCTGGATAACTTTGTCCTGTGCTCTTGCGGGTCCCTTACCTGCCCAGATGAGCAGCTGGCCATGTGGCATGCCCCTTGCAGCACCAGAGGAGTCTCTGGCTCCATGTGGACCCCGAGTATAGAAGGTTAGTAAAGCTTCAGCCAGACTGTTGACCTTAGGAGTTTTCAAGCTCTGATCTCTCTTTTGGAAACACTCTTGCTCACTTACATGGCTTTTTGATGTCATGACAAATGGAAGCAAGGCTTATCTTGAGCTCTGGAGTGCTGTTCCCATAGTAGCTCAGTGAGAAAACCTGTTGATTTAAGATGTTGAAACAGACACTCTTACTTACTCTTCTGCTTAAGCTGTAACTGCTTCCATAAGACAGTAATTTTTCAGCAAGGTGGATTCCTTTTAGCATTTCCCTTGAAAGAGTCCCTTCAGGTGTTGTCTGCTCCCCTTGTCAGTTTGCAAGCTTCTGGGTTTTTAAAGGCCTGTAATCCTGAGCAGAGGCTGGAAACTTCTTAACTGCGATGTGCTGCTTGCCTTCAGCAACACATTCTCACTTTTCTTTCTCCTTCCTGCTGTTCTTCCTCTCTCCCTCTGTGTTTCCTTCCTGTCCAGTCTTGTTCAGCATTCCCACTATATCTTTTCTTCTCTCTGTTCTTCAGAACAGCCTTGTTGGGATATGTAAGTGGTGTCTGCCTGATTTTGCTATAGGTCTAAAGAACAGAAGGTGCTGGGACTGCCATTCACTCAGCCTCTTGAGTGTGGAGCAAGGAGGGGGAGGAATAGCTGGGTCAGATGTTGGGGTCATGCATATTACCTGTAATTGACTTTAATACGTGCATTTATTTCAGCAGGTATCAGAGCTCCCTTGAGCAGAGTCCCTCAAGGTGGCTGTATTGAGGCCAGTTCAGGAAGAATCACTCAGCAGTCAGATTTAGAGGTTGAAAACATCCTTAGAGAAGGACAGCTAGGGACCCTGGAATCTATTCTTCCCCACAGGTAAAAGGAGCAGAAAGCACAGGGCTTCTTCAAGGCAGGAGTAACAAGGATGCTGTGGGTCTAGCCATGTCCTGATCCCCCCTGTTGAAAAGGGTTGCAGGAGGAGTGGAGTGATTCATCTCATTCCAGGGGTCTGACTCTCATTGTGTCCATGATATTTTGCAGGTATTTATATCTGTGCGCTGGAAATGTGCTTTATGATGGCACAAAGGAGGTTCAGGACCAGCCTCATCAGAAAAGATATGAACCCCTCTCTTTAAAGCAGGTTTAGCTTCTAAGCTATTTGTCTGGTTTTCTTTCTGGCAGAAAATCTTGACCTATACTGATCCAGTGAGATCTGATTCTGTGTGCTGGGTTGGTAGGGCCCGGACTTAATCCTGAAATAGTTTTTGTAGCTCCATAACCTCATGACAAGATTATTCCATAGTGCAAGCTTTCCAAATTGGGAGACAGAAAGACAGACAATCTTCTGTTTTTCTGTTTTCCACCTGTAACAAACATTCAGACTGCAGGTTTCCTCTGAGACTTGAGATTAATTCACAGAATGCAAAACAACAAAAATCCGTGCCATCTCCCATATGTTACACAACTACCATAATGTTACATAAAAATAAACACTGCCAAACACATTACGAGGTTCTTTTAATTTACTGATCTGCAAGACAAGGCCCTGTTTCATAACCCTTCTGGTGACACTGTCCAGCATTTGTGCTAGCGTGACACTCTCAGATTGGTAGAAGCAGTTTTATTCCCACTTTGTAGATGAGGAAGCAGAGGCTTTGTGGCTTGTCAAGCAACAAGGGAAGGTGGTGATTCACTGGAGATAAAGATTGGTGGGGTTTTGCCCCTCCAGTGTCTGCAGTTTTTTGCATTCATGTCAAGGCTCCTTGCTCTGAATTCCTGGAGAGAACCCAGGTCTGGGGTTTGTAAACTGACCTCAGTGTGTGATTTAGGATTTGCAGTTTTAAAGTGGCTGAAGATCATGAAAGATCAGTGGGACTTGCTGGCAATATTTTGGCTGAATTTAAAATTGCATGTTCCTACTCTAGAGTGAGCTCATGTTTATTTTTAAAATATGTTCCACCAGTAGAAGAAATCTATGGTGAATGTCTCCTTGTTGGGTATGTCAGTTGTGCCAGGAATCCACACACCCTTTATCGTATTCCTGGCAGGGGCAGGACTTGCTGCTTCGTTGACACCTTCTGGTGAGGATATCGTTATTTGAACTCTATTCGTAAACCCTGTTTAGTGGCCTGGTCCAGCGCCCCCCAAAACCTTGACCTCTCCAAAATAACATGAATGATATGGAACATCTGTCTCTTTAGAAAGGAGTGATGCTTAGGCTAAGCCCTTGTGCAGTTTCTCAGGGGACCTCGCATGGGTAGTCTTGGGTGAGATCACTGCTCAGTGAGCGGCAAGGAGGGAGAATCGCCTTTGCTATCATGCAGAGCCCTCTAACAGAGTGACTGGATTAGAGAGAAATATTGTGTCACTTCAGTAATAATGTTGCAATGGTCATTCATCGGGGTGCCTGGAAGAGTCAACAGCTGAAACTTGCTGTGGTGGATAGGCAGGGCAATGATGTTATCTCTGCTTTACAGATTAGGGTAAGGCACAGAGAAGGAAATTATGTAGCCGAGGTCACCCACCTGGAGTGGATGTAGTGTTACACTCTCTCTATCCTGGCAGCACTTCTGGCTCCCTGCTTTGTTAAGTGTAGAGGTAAAGCTACAAGTCAGGCAAAGGATCCTTAATCTGCTTTTCTCATTTTTAAAGGTGCTCACCTAGAAAGGACTTGGCCTGAAAGCTTGTTAGAACAATTCCTGTTGATTTCTTTCATGGGCTTTTTACAGCTGGTCCTACGCACTTGGGCTGTATCCAAACCTCTTATGATCTACAAGGCTGTGAGGTGGGAGTGTGAGGGGGAACCAGGCTGGAAGCTGACTGTCTCCATCTGCTCCTGCTGCCTGACAGGAGAGTCTGATCCAGCTAGCAAACTGGAAGTCCCTGTGGGACACCAAAGAGATGCTCGCCTTTACAGATAGTCGTGTTGTATCCCCTTTGTTCCTCCAGCTGAGACAGGTGAAGTGTAGTCCAGTTAATAGTTCTTGCAGAATATAACTCCCTCATGCCTCCCATTTCAAACAGAAAAGCACACTAAATTCTGTGGAGCAAGGCAGACTGTATTTATGAGCCAGCATATCGATTTAGAAAACCTCAGTGCCGAGATGTTGCAGCTTACCGCTTCTGCCTGCATTTTTGAGATTCCAGCTCAGAGTGCTAGGAATCCTCCTGCATTAGGCTCTCCTCGCTGGATAACCCAGCACCACGAGCCTGGCAGGCAGCAAGTTCAGAACGCACAAAAGGAGGCTGCTTTTGGCATGTTGCAGAACTGCAGGATTCGTTGCTAAGGGCAATGTGCGTGTCAGTGTAGGCGGGCTGTGAAAAAGGTTAAGACAGATTCTTGCGGGGGGGAAGGGGTTGAGACCTTTTGTTGTTTGTACATGTAATGGCCTGAATGCAGCCTCCAGCGGAGGAGTCCCGAGACCGATTGCTGGAACCTGGCAGGCATTCCAAGGAAGGGCACCTTGACACCTTACTTTTCTCCTATGGTCTGTTAGTTGGCACCTTTGGTCTGGGCCTGTGTGGCCATTCGTACCCTGGGCTCTTGCGGAAGTGGTATGGGCAGTGTTGTTGGAGTATAGCCACTTTGGGGTTGGCGGTGAAGGGAGAGCACATCCCATCCCAGTGTCTTCTATTTGACCCAGTGCCTGCAGACAGTGACCTCTTCTGAGAGGTTGGCAGAGCCCCCAAGGGAGGTGTGGGTGGGCAAGCCACGTCCCCAGACTCGACTGGTGGCCTTGAAAAGCTATAGTAGAATCTCAGCCAATGTTGTGGCTGTGTGTAAAGCCACATCTTTATGTTTTGACTCTTAAGACCTGTGTTTTTAAAATAATCTTCCGGGAAGGACATGTTTTGGTAGACATCTTGTTTACAGAGAGTGT